AACGAGAAGGAGGACATCTTATGGTGCACTGAAATGGAAAGGTACCCAGGCCTGGGCTGGCGTCGCGGGGCTGTCCCGGCGGGAGGGGGTCTCTCCCGGCCAGGCTGGCGTCTCGCACAGCTGCCACGTGAGCAGTGGGTACCTGGGCATTTCCTGACGTGGCCAATTCCTGGGGATGGTCCCACAGTGAGGCATCTAGAAATCAGTCCACGGGGGCCTTGGGTCCCGGATGGGGATGGTCCCACAGTGAGGCATCTAGAAATCAGTCCACGGGGGCCTTGGGTCCCGGATGGGGATGGTCCCACAGTGAGGCATCTAGAAATCAGTCCACGGGGGCCTTGGGTCCCGAGGGTCCTGCTGAGCTCCAGGAAACACGGCGGCTCAGGAGCGTCTTATCGTGCTGCTCCTTTAGGTGCCTCACGAACCAGAGCAGCACAGGACCCGGTGGGCCTTCCAGCCTGAGCACCCCGATTGGGTGCAAACTGGCCTCAGGGACGAGATGACCTCTTCATTCTCAGTGTAACCGCCACTTAGCCAAACAGACCACTTACACAAACAACAAGCAAGCGGGAACTCCTGGAGGGCGTGGAGTCAGACAAGAGTTCTCCTCCCTCTTGCGGGGAAGGTATTGGGGTGTATAGTCATTACTTTCAGACTTCAGGTACCCACTGCAGATCTAAATCTCGGGTGCCGCCTGTCCTGGAGGTGTTCTCACAAATCCTGACTTTGCTTCTACCGTGTCGTAACTCTCTCGGCCACGGTTATCTTACCTAGCTTCAAATCCACAGACAGCAGCGGGCCGTCTGAGTTTGAGTGGGTGACAGAGGAGCGAAGATCCCCCAGAATCCCAAGTGCCAGCGCTCACCCCGCCCTCTGCCTCTTTCCCCAGGGTGTTCGGCTTCCCTGTCCACTATACCGACGTCTCCAACATGAGCCGCTTGGCGAGGCAGAGACTGCTGGGCCGGTCGTGGAGCGTGCCGGTCATCCGCCACCTCTTCGCTCCGCTGAAGGAATATTTTGCTTGTGTGTAAGGGACATGAGGGCAAACTGAGGTAGTGATACAGAGTTAAAACAAACAAACAAAAAAAACACACAAAAAAAACACAAAGAACATGAGGATGGAAAGAAGTATCAGCACCCAGAAGAGAAAGGAATTTAAAACAAAAACCAGAGGCGGAAACACCGGAGGGCTTTGCCTGGTGAAAAGGGTTGGACATCATCTGGTTTTTCAATGTTAATCTTCAGTCCTATTTAAAAACTACATCATGTTCCCTCTCCCCCTAGCCCCCACCCCCCTTTTTTTGGTCAGATCTTTTGTTTTCTACTCTTTTCAGAGGGGTTTTCTGTTTGTTTGGGTTTTTGTTTCTTGCTGTGACTGAAACAAGAGGGTTTATTGCAGCAAAAATTAACAACAAAACATAGTAACAATACCTTGCCGAGAGAGAAGAAAAAAAGGAAATTCTATGGAAATCTATATATTGGTATTGGATTTTTTTTTTTTTTTTTTTACTATATATCTTTTTGTTGTTGTCTCTAGCCTGATCAGATAGGAGCACAAGCAGGGGGCGGAAAGTAGAGACACACTCAGGAGGCCGAGACCCCTCCCAGCCACTGAGCTGTCTTGCCAGCACCATTCCTGGTCATGCAGAGCAGAACCCAACTAGCAGCAGGGAGAGGACACCACAAGACCCTTTTATACAGTATTTCAGGTGCCTACCACACAGGAAACCTTGAAGAAAACCAGTTTCTAGAGCCGCTGTTACCTCTTGTTTACAGTTTATATCTATATGATAGA